CACTATAGTGACTCACCATCCCAAGGAATGACCGTAACGTTGTGACATCCGATGGCGCCGGTAACCGGTCTATCACCTCGATATTTTCGGGATCGGGTCGTCGGCCGTTCTCGTTAATTACGAAACCCAGGAACTTAATTGACTTCAGGAAAAATTTGCACTTGTCCGCTCGTAATCGGAAACCGTAATCTTTGATTCTTTGTAGCACGTCATTCAATCGTTGAAATAACTCATCTTGCGTCGAGCCCATTATGATGATGTCATCCAGGTAGGCTGCCGCTCCGGTTACACCCGTCAGCATGGCATCCATGACTTGCTGAAAGATTGCCGGTGCCGTTTTGACTCCAAATGGCAAACGGTTGTACTGGTAGAGACCGCGATGCGTGTTGATTGTTAGAAGCTTCCTGCTTTCCGGTTCAACTTCTAACTGCAAATAGGCGTCTGCAAGATCAAGAGTAGCAAAATACTTGCCTCCGTTCAGTTTTGCAAACACGTCCTCAGGGAGTGGAAGCGGATACTGATGGGGTTCCAGTGCAGCATTCAGGCCCGTTGAAAAATCTGCACACAAACGAATAGAACCGTTCGGTTTCCTGATCACAACAATAGGCGCAGCCCACGGTGAAAAATTGACTCGCTCGATCACTCCGGCCTGCTGCAATCGATCAAGTTCCTGTTCAACAAGTGCTTGGGAAGCATAAGGGACAGGACGTCTGGGTCGAAACACTGGTCTGGCATCCGGAAGCAGAGTAAGTTTTGCCTGCATTTTCTTACAGTGTCCAAGTTCCGACTGGAATACACACGCATACTTCGTTTGAAGCTGTTCAGAGATGCTTTGACCCGGAGGAGTCGGTATGGCTGTATGGTGCACCGTGACATTCCTTTCAGCACAGACACGATTCAGTGGTACATTAAACAAGTTCAGCTTTTCAATCCAGTCGATTCCGAGAAGATTGACGTCGGTGCATGAGACTAGGTAGATTGTGCCGCGGAGTTGTAGTTCCTTGAAGTTGACCTCACATTCAATCTCTCCATCCAATCTCAGCGGTTCCCCGGATGCATTCTGAGCCGTCAGAGTTGTGCGCTTGAATGCTGGTCTTCCAAGCTTCCTCCAAGTGGATCGCGAAATGATTGTGATGTCGGACGCCGTATCTAGTTGCAAGGTGACTGGAATACCATTGACTTTTACTGTTAAATACTTTCTCTTGCCTGCGAATTCCGTGCGAAATGCAGCGAGAACTACCTTTGTGGCCGGTCCATGAAATTTCGCCCTTCTGAAGTTGATGTTTGTGCGCAATCTCGAGGGAAATGAACGTCTGAAGTTGTGCGCAACTCGACAGTGGGTTTCCTTATGACCAAACCGCTTGCACTTGTGACATTGATGCCCTTTGTAGATACAGTCTCTCACAAAATGCCAAGCGCCACAATTCCAGCATGCGGTCGGGGGCTTCTGAGTTGACCGATTCTGGTTCATCACTTTACCACGGATAGCTGTGCGACAAATCTGGGGTTCTGTCCTGTGGTCAGCAGTTTCAATCATTTTTGTGTCGTGCTTCAAGTTAATCAGTCGCTGGCATTCGGCTGTAATCTCTTGCAGCGTCAACTGTGGTTCTTGTTCGAGCTTGTGGAGAATACGTGTTCGAATATCGGCATCAGCGTGGGACTGGAGACTGCACACGAAAATAAGACTCTTGAATTGATCAGGTGTCATCAGACCCAGTTTGAATCGTTCACATTCGCGATTTACGATCCCGGCATGTGTGACAAAATCAACGGCATCGCGTTTGACTAACTTCAAACAATTGTAGCGAACACTGAACAGAGAGGCCTGCTCACCGAATATCTGCGTCAGCGTTTTCACCGTCTCATCGAAGCTGAAGTCTCTTGCATTCTTCGGCAACACGAAATTTGTGTAACGTTCATGTTCGACTGCGCCAAGTTTCCTCAACAACAAACGAACCTTCCAGGCATCGTCTTGGTCTGCAAGTTCCACTCGAAAAATATCTTCATACTTTAAGAACCAGGATTCAAATGTCAATCCGTTCAATCCATCGAAAACAAATTCTGTGATTGAAGCAGCAAGGGCGTCCACCGATGGCCGTGCGGTTGTCGTCGGGGATTCGCTTTGGATGTTCAGCTTCTGAGATAGCAACTCGATCAACTGTCGTTGAGATTTTTCAAACTGGAGTTGTTGCTGTTGAAGGAGCGTCTGCATCTGCTCGAACGAAATCGACATGATTACCGGAACCTCCGTCGCCAGAAAATCTGTTGTGTCGCCGCTGACGCCTTCACCCCACGACCGCAAGAAGAAGTCCAAAGACGAGCCAGAAGGAGACTTGTATACATGAAATCACAGTTGCTTATATAGTTTGAAGGCAAAATGAAGGGAAGCTACTAAAGTACACTTGAGCCAACCAACTGAAGGAAAAACGTAAAATGCAACGGCGAATAAGCAACCGTGTATGTAAGAGCGAATCGCGTAGGTCCTTAAAAATAGCATCATTGGACTCCAAGCGTAAAGCGAACGACCATTTACAGTGACGGGCACTGGCCAATCAGAATGACGAAATGAAACGTTTAAACAAAAGTCACGAAACAAACGCGAATAAGGAATGCAGACCCAAAAGTTGAAAACTAGTACAATAATTGTGTGACACTAAATATTCCTTTAACATAACCAAGTAGAACAGTGATGAGAAGAAAAAACCAATAGAATATGTTCTTGCAAACAGCGCTGCTGAGAAAGGGCATGACGATGAGCGTCCATTAACAATGACGCGGATGTACCAATCGGGCGAACCCAGTAGAGCGTTTAAACAACAGTCAAGAAATAGAAAATAGGAAGAGTAAAGAATAGCTATCAAGCTCGGTCACAATAAATGAATGTCTAATAGCTGTTCTCCTAATAGCATGTATGCGTGACAGACCGATCTTAAGGTGAGCGCATTTTAACACTGTGGGTTATGTTCGTGCGATTTGCTCAACCGAGGATGAGCAGGGCTCGATAAAGTTACGTACCCATAGGAAGGGATTCTACCGACCCAGACGACGAGCCCAAGCCAACGGGGACAAAATCCTTATCATTGGAGAATGCCAATCTCCCACCATTGATCGGTACCACAATCCGAATAGTACGCGCATTCACTGCATTCAACATTACTTCGTTCATAGACTAGTGTTCAATCTCTTGAAGAGTCTTATCACATTGTATCAGAAACGGAATTCAAAATCACACGTCTGTCCATACCGGGACTCATAAGGGGCTGCCATGCCTGCCACAGTGGCGTCCACGGGATTCACCTGTTCACGATCCCCGAATGCCATAGTAGTCCCCGACAGACACGCGCATTCCACATAAATGAAGAGTAGATAAAAGCGATAGTTAAGTGTACCTTCACCACTATGGTCCTTCCAGTTAACCAGCCATGGTCCTGTTTTGATTGGTTCTCACGAACCACTGACCATCGAGTGACGCACCTGATTCATGTGAATAAAGGTATTTGTGACCAAATAGTCCACGACTTTGCTCTTTGTACACCGTAAAACGGTTCCTTTTTACGTGTCATGTTCTTGATCACAATAGGTCCAAGCACTGAGTTGCTATGAATCCAGCTAGCATGACATACATCGTTGTAATCATATTGATGAACGGTGGTGAAATTCAAGAAAGATGCAAGCATAAATTTATGGAAATAAAAGCAAAGCATGTTGTCGGTGAAAGAAAAGCTAAATAACGGAAACAGGAAGCCGAATACAGGATCATCCTTGATTTCACCATTACATCATACCGGATAAGTTATTCAATCACTGAGCAATGCACCAGATCTACACAATTTTCCGGCCAGCTTCTTTACGTCTTGTCACTGAGCTATCAGCCGATCATCCTGGAGCATTGTCAAACCGGACTTAGACTTGCAAACAGTACCTGTCAAGGTAGGTATATACATCTTCCTGATGGGTGTGTCCCGAACAGTTCAGGCGGCTCAAATACAACAGACGATACCAGCCCCTTAGTTGGCGAGTAACAATGCAACAAGCATTCGATTGTCCCACCAGCTACGGGCGATGTAACTCAGATACCAGTGTTCAACCCCGACCGTTTGCCTAATATCTTCAGGAGCCAATGTTAACGTCTTTGATCCGTACCATGATGTTAGGCGCCCTACTCTGGGCCTTAGCAGCCCATCCACGCAGTAGCTGACTGAAGCTTTTAGAACTCCCACAAGCTCTAGTGATGGGCACAGCAACCAATTCGGCAACTTGAAACAAACAAGTAGCTATCATGAAGCGTGTGTTCATACGCACCACGGTTGTGGTCATTCACATGATTCTACCTGACTTTAAAAGAGAATCTTTTGGAAAGGAAACTTCGTGAGCGTGAGCCCCAGTTTTACAGAGAACTGTGTGGTACGGTAGTCCGACTACTGACCCACTTCCGTTGACACCGACTGAACCACTGGCTAAGACCACTGGTGTGGTGTGTCGATGATTCGCTGGCTTTTGGGTCAGTCAGCAGACGGAGTTGCACATCCTTACCCAATGCACTACTTCCTGGGATCGGTTTGAATTGCGCCAGAGCGGACGATCATATGGTGATTTTGCCTTTACTATGCGGATACAGCTTTCTTGTGGCATTCAGCCCCATACCTTTAATACGCCTTGGCCAGCACGTCTCCCTGTTCTGTAGATATACGCAGCGTCCATGCTTAGAACAGGGATACTTTGTGTGCCCTGTTGCCCCAACTTATCCGTCACTATGCTCACTGGACGTGCCCGACCTTTGTCAACACGCTCACAGACTTGTTACTGGGCGATTTTTCTGCATTATTTTGACGACTCCGCCCAGTGGGAATTGGTCTTAACTGGCTGTACGTTGCCATAGGACTCTGTTCCTATGAAGCAGTAACTGATTCATTCAAAGCGCAGCAAATCTATAACAACTTTTACCTGTTGACTTAACATCTGATATCGTCTTGTTTTATTCCGAATGTGTTTTTGTCTACAGGAACCGGACGATTGTTTTGTGCGTCAAACCAACACCTGCTTCTTATACGGGTACGAGTATTTGGGCAACTCTGGTAGGCTGGTTATTACCCCTCTAACCGACAGATGCTACATCACCCTCACAACCGCGCTTCATCTACACCGTGGTGGTTCGCCGAAAGGTCCAGCTGGGACAGGCAAGACGGAGACAGTAAAGGACCTAGGCAAATCGCTCGGGGACTATGTGATTGTCGTGAACTGCTCCGAGGGCTTGGACTACAAATCCATGGGTCGCATGTTCGCCGGTCTCGCACAAACTGGAGCCTGGGGATGCTTCGATGAATTTAACCGGTGAGTGCCCTATTTCTTCAGTAAGATCAAAATATGTTGGTATCGCGGAACTGTACTTTCAATGGTCATCATTCCACCTCCATCGCTTTGCGTTCCCGTCAGAACGAGTGACTCTCTTGGCTTACAACCCTAGCCACACAAGAAATGCAAACAGCAACAGACATAAACACCGGATGCATTTATCCAGTGGTTCATAATAGACACCGATATGGCTGATCTACCGAATCAACTAACACCACTTTACATCATTATCCAACTTCAGATGACACCCGGTTGCGCACCTGATATCTTCTCCATCTCTCGCATTCAGATGGAAAACTGCCTTCACTTAAGTTTACTAAAGATCTATAGATTACTAGCTTGTAGATCTTTCGGAATCGGTCACTAGGTGGACCTTAGTCATCATCCTGCGTGCGTAGGAAATAATTCCCATATTGAGTTGTCACTGGGCCGCAATGATTCCGTGACATAGACTCGCTAGCTTTCGCGCTCAAAACTGCGATTGTTCGTAACATGTTCTCTGGCAATGTGACTCATTTTAGAGAAGGCAGCTCAACGCAAAGAAAGGTGCAGCTCATGTTGGTAAGCATTTGTAAGCTGTCCCGTGCGCGCTTGTTTCAAAACACATGAGTAACCTCCAAAGTGCCGTGGCGACATCGTGTGTCCGCATTCCATGCAAGCAGCGGAACAGTAAGTGAACTGTAGAGTCAGAAATAACAGATTGCACCGACTGCTTTGACTAGATGCATTTTCGTCTGTCGACAACAGGCGTATGGTGAGGTAACGGGACGCTTCCAGTCATCTGCGGTGTTGTTCTGGTGAATTCGAAAGAGATTTACGCGTACTGTTTGTCCACCGGGGCTAATAAAACATCGAAGTGCCAGCTTCAGTGGCCCACAGATTACAAAACCGGGTGAGTTGTCAGGTTCACTTACGTTACTGGTGGAAACCCTCAAGCGGGTGCGGCGGCCAAAACCATTTCAAGCACAGATTAGTACCTCAGGTCGCAGACATCTGACAAGCAATGGTCAACCAACCAGTTGATGCAAGCCGCGCAGTAACGTTCGTAGCGCTTCCCTTTGTAGCACTGCATTACTCGACTTTTCTACCTGTGTGGTGAGTTGAGCTGCCGAGTGGCGTTTTAAGAGGATCAGCGAGACTGTTCTATTATTCGGTTCACGAAGATATTTGCCGTCCGTCACGTAAACCCTACCGTACTGGAAGCTGGGAACGCAATGACCAAAAACCTAACATCCATGAGGTGCACGGCAATGTTAAAACCAATACAATGTGTAGAAGGCTCGAGATCCATAAAGAAACGTTCTAAAGAAGCGCTGCTCATCGCCGTCCAAAAACAGTGAGTATTTTCAGTTCCATGTAGCTGACTGATCCTACCTATTTTGATCGCTCTTGGTTGGGTGTCGGTTGCACTTTCTCATCACGGGCGGGGAACGGTCGCTGTCCTCTAACAGTTGGGTCATAACTTCAGGCGTATGCGAGGCTACAGGTGATAACGACGGATCGGTGAGCTTAGTTGAGGTTCCAGTTTGCGTCGGAACCGAAAGCTTTCCATATGGGAACCGGTTTACTTTATATTCCATTCCACCTATCTGATTACTGTACACGTTAAACTGTGCAGTAGAGCGAACATTGTTGGATGATATTGCTTCATGTCTTCTGAGCAATTGCAAACTGAGGACATCATTCGCTTTCCACATGCCACAAACCAATTCGCGTTAAGAAACATTCCCACTCTGTGTGAGTGTGGGTTAGGATGGGGGAAACAAAAGAACCAAATGAGCACATGCACGTGATCTGGGGCTGAGAGCCAGGGTTCCACGGAACTTTATGATCAGCAAGCAGCTGTTTTGGTTCACGAACTTTGTCCGGCGTTAGTGATCACTACGGCGTCCACCAAATTGCATGCCTTCACTTTGGCGATTGCACCAGTCACCCGCCAATGATAGGGCCTGACTATGCACACCTCTGTTTCATCGTGGTGCAAGCCCTAGAACCGAACCACAAGGTCGAAGTTACCCCCTACCTAATGATCCGCACGGTCATCCTCCTCCAGAGAATAGGCTTGATGTCTCACGCTGAAATGTGCTAGGATGTTCACGACTTTAGCATTTGATGCACACTGGTCACGTGGTCACCTGTACGGCCGACTGTGATAAATCCTCCGACCTTTGGCCCTAGCCACCCATGCGTGAGGTTAGGATGGTGGGTTTAATCGCTCGGACACGCGAAATGCGTGCAGTAGTGGAGAAACTCCACCGATGAACAAGCGAATCGTTTTGTAACGTTCAGTAGTCGAGTGAATTGGTGATGCGACCAAAGTAGAACGCAACACTTGACGACATTCTACCGTGCATTCGCAGAGGTCCACTAGCACGTTTCACCAGATGTAAACGCGAACACCGGAGACATCGATGCATCATTGATGTATGCGTGTTAAGCGTCCTATCCAATACAAAGACTTCACCGACCCAGTGTTCTGAATGACCCTATACCCGCTACATATTGTTCGATTGCATCATGGGCTAGGATGCTGGAAGAATTCTGCTTGTATTTGATGGGTCAAATTGATTGGCTGACCCCACCGGTAGCTGACACCACAATCTGGTAGGTTGTAGTTCATTGGATTGCCGTGGCGCTTTTCGCCGCAGGACCCAACTCTGGGTACTTCTTGGACTGTAGTCGATACGCTCACCTAGATGGGTGGGCCTTACATATCACCGTACTGGGTACGTGCTTTAGGCGACAAGAAGACAGCTCAAGTTTGAACTTTGTCTCGTGGCAGTTTCTCGCCTCATCACTTGCACGGCCTTTTAAGCATGTGGGTCATTGTGGCAATACTGACTGGTGTGTCATCCTTGACAGCCTCACTAACTTTCATTTCACTTCCGGCCGCCTTGGCCTGTAGCTGGCAGCTCCACCCTGCTACCTGGAGAGACCATGGTCCCATAAAGTTGTCGATCCACCGTTCCTCCGTGATACGGTCCTGCCCTAGACAGAGTGATCGTTTGCGTTCATAGTGATGCATAAGAAAAGTCATCGCCACTACAAAGTTGCTGAGGCCGCTAGGTATTAGGAGACAAAATTCACTGCAGGTTACCGAGCTGACGTAAATTGTGCAATGAAGGGATAATGTCACGCGCTGAATTGGTTTAATGGATTAAGCTGCCTTCCATCTGTGGGTACTCTTGTTGGAGAGCGAACCCCATGGCTTACATCCATTTGGCACTGAATTGCTGGGCATATCATCTGCCAGTGACAGCAATATTATGTCACTATAGTTTCGAGTAAGCGTCTACCTCATGTTACCCAAGGTAACAGCAAACCATAAAGCATCTGAGATGATCCGCTACGATTTGAAGACGTTTAGATGTTGCTTAGTGTCGGGTGCCAGAACGTGAATACACAAACTAAGCCATACATATGACGATTGATAAGTGGGAAACGCGTGGGAGGAGAAGTGTATATATTGACAAAAGAGATTGGTGACTCGTTCCGATGTGTGGCCATACTTGGTAGTTTCTCTGACTGCCTACACTTGTAAGTCATGGCGTCCACGACTCCTACAACAGCCGTTCTCAGATTGATGCTATGTAAGTAGAAATTCATCACATTGTTACCGTCCTCCCTGGTTCACTGCCCTTAGCTACTGGTCCAGTTGTGGGCTCAAGCCCCACAGAGGTCAGATGGAATCCCCATTTCCTGACGGTTTCCGAAAGGAGGAAATAGCTGTACAGTGCTTCTCCGGGCGTGTGCTAGCTGCCTGACTGAGTCTAGATGTGATAAACTTATACTTCTACCATTCAACCCCCCTCACGACTTCTTTGTGTTGTCAGTTAAGTTTATATTGGAGTGACCAACTGGCCAACTTGCTCCCGTCGCAGCCAAGTCTATCACCCACCAACAACACAGGTCCACAATGTGTCTGAGTTACGCATGTGTCCTTTGGGACCTGATTGTTGAAATGGTTGTGTACAGTGATAATAACATTTTAGATGAGTCAACACCATCCGCAAGCGGCCTCGTTGCAAATGCGATGATTCCATGGTACCCCAAGAGTGGGTAAAAAGCAAGCGTGGTCATAAATGTTTAGTCCCCTTGCACCGGTCATGTTTGCTGTCAGGTCTTACAGCCACTTATAGGAGATACCCCAACTTTATCACTGTACACCAGATTTTCAACAGCGCAGGCACGTATGCGTTTGTAGCACACTTAGCTGAGTGTGACAAAGGCGTGCGAACCTCAGAAGTACGCGACACTATACTGTTTACCATCACACCAGCTTTGGATCAAGTCACTAAGTAATCAATCTTCTCACTCATCACAGAGCCGTGATGGTCTATTAGCGTGCCAAGAGGATTTTTACTTTGAAGCAACAGTAGCGTATCAAAAGTATGACACACATCTTCAGGTTGAGAAGAACCGATCAGTCTGCAGTTCGCGAATAAACTACGTCAAGATCGTTCTTATTCTCATGAAGTAGATCTATTATTTCAACAATTTTGGACAGTTTTCGCATCAATCTGGATTGAAGATATAAGCATGCTACCTGTTTTGAAAATCAGGTGCATTATCCGGTTGTATCAGCTAAGAACAGTTCAGACGGAGAGACGGAATGGTGGTATGGTACGCTCAGTTTTCCTGTGAGTTTGGCCCTTCATCGGACACAGCAGATACGCCCACTTAGCTCGGTGGTTTATCTTGAAAGCGTTTAACATATGCTGGATAATTTTGATCATGCTATGGAACAACTCAACTCAGAAACTGCACTTTGGCTATGTGGGTGGCTTCGGCCGTTTCTTTAACAGCGAACTTAACATAGCTCGAAAATGTGTGTGTAGGTCAGTCTACTTTCAAGCGCTGTGTCATGCACTATTAGGCTTCCTTTAGGTGAGGACAATGTTTTTCGACATCCGTACACTGCTTTGAAGCACCCGACTGACGTCACGTGGACAGCCATTACTTATCATGCGTTATCTGTGAAGCAGAGCCTCGCGCGCGCGGGCACGGCAGGTCAGTTGGATGTGTTTGATAAGTACCGCCGTTGCATCTGGAACGCCCCGGGTCTATACTGGATTGGGTGCCCGAGTGAGTAAAATTGATTTACCGCTATGTGGTGTCCACCGGGTAGTGGTAACTCTTCAGGTGACTCGTAGAATGTGGTACCGCCTGGGTGTTTAAAAGCTTCCACGGCTTCGTTGATGACTAGGATGGTAGTTCAGAGGTTGAAGTTCTCAAGTATTACTTTTTGGTCGTTTTCCCGAGATGTGTTCCAAAGCGGGTTTTGAGAGACAGGAACAAGGAAAACTGAACGACGACCTGACATGAGCTTTTCCTAGCTAAGAACATCAGCACCAGAAATCAAACTAAAATTTTCCTTACCTTGCTTCTAGGAATCCACTTAATGGGCGCCATAAAGGCATCATGGGTTACTAGTACAAAATGTCCTGTGAAGTACTTAACCGAACATTTGCTCCCCGAGGAGGCTGAAAGCAGCTATTGACAGAAAACTCCATCTTGTAGGCGCTTTACTCTCTACCGGGAAGCGAAGCTGTGATTACCCTGTTTTTCTCGATTATTAGAACAGGATTCACCGTAGGCTACAGCTAGCCAGCAGGTAACCAATATGCGCCGTTTCCGCATGAAATACATCAGCACTAATAAGCACTGGGTCCAAATTGAGTCAAAGAAAGCTTTCAAGATTCCTAGCAAAGTTCGCTAATCTGAGGCAAATATTTACAATATGACTGCAAAAAACCGTTTCGTTCTCCTGCATCTCATAAGCTGTCACTTGAATCAACCGCCGTTTCGATCGTCGTGGGCTCGCTAAAGCGGTCTCTTTATGGTGAGACAAAGATCACTGTTTGAACTCATCACCGGATCGGTGAGGACACACACTGTTAACGAGTAGTAAGAGAATAGGACTGTCACACGAACCTATTCCGACTGAGGTTGTGGTCTGATCAAGCCTGACAGAGATTAGTTCAATTGGAAAATGACGGATCACCATTTTACCTCTGTCGTTAAGCACGTTCCATTGGTGCACCTACCATCACCTGCAAAGATCCATCGAGTTCGTTTGATGCATGCAACGCAACTGTTCCATTTCCCTCACCTCCGACTGCTTTATCGTTTGATTTTCTTTTCTACTCCTAACCATTATTTTAGCATCAACATTGAAGTGCTGTCCGTTGTTGCCCAACAAATTCTCTCCATCCTCTCCGCACTCGCTGTGGCCTCGCATGCATCGAATCCAATGGAGAAGACACGTTTTATGTTCGATGGACGTATGCTTCAATTGGTCTGGTCCTGTGGGATTTTTATCACTATGAATCCAGGTTACGCGGGACGCACGGAGCTGCCGGACAATCTCAAATCAATGTTCCGTCCGATCGCCATGGTGGTGCCGGATTCCTCAATGATTGCTGAGATCACCCTATTCGCCGAGGGATTCGGCTCAACAAAGGTAAGCGTGAACTTTGTGCTATGAAATCGCCTCAGAAGTCCTTGGGGGAATTTCCCTTATGATGACTATGTGACAGTTGTGACTGGGAACATGATTCGTCACTGTGTGCTCCTCATTCAACAGTTCCTTGCTGTAGCTGCGTTAGATGTGTGATATTTGATGTCAGCAAATAACTGCGTCGACTACAGTTTCATGATGAGTATGGTAGGCATCATGTTGGTCGATGCGCTAGCTTACAGCCGCCGGCGAGCCCACGATAGCCAAAAATCAGCACTGATCTTTCTTAGTCAGTGCAGCACACTTTTAGACAGTGTGGTTGGAATCCGAACAGTTCAGCCTATTGAGCTTTACGCTGTGTTCTACACGTCGCCTTTCCAGTTTAGCGAAACGCTGTATCAATAAATAGGTTTGGTGATAATAGGTTCACCACTAGGGCCATTGCACGCGGACGTCTTCCTGGGAAAATTGGAGAGAAACCAATTAATCGAATCCACCAACTTGTAGACGACATATTTTGTACCGTGAATAATGGATTGTGTGTCAGTAGTCTATTGGATCACTTCCGCTATGCACATGATAACATAGCATTCACTATCGAGCTAGAAGGTAACAACTTATCGGTATATTAAGATGTTCAGATTAATAGGACTGTTAGGAAGAAAAACTCTAGGCTAGCAGCCTAGGTGTCAATCTCCGTCAATCGCCAAAGTATGGCCGGTGAGCCGCCAACTGGGTGAACCAGTAAATTAGCGCGGGATCGGTATTGTTTATTGGTCATAAGTTGCCCCTTCTATAAGTTTGCACTTGAGCTTTGTATACCGATCACCAATATTTCATATTACCTTTATATTGGACGGTATGATTAGCCAATACACATCGCTTCCCCTCTGCTCTTCCGAAATCGATCTCTCCTCTTTCCTGCTGAGGTCCAAGGACCTCAACTTCTGATCAATAGCCAACCATTGAACCAGACGAGGGATAACCACTTCAACGGCATCAGATGCGTCGATGCGGAGGAGGATGCGCAGTAAAGAAACGTAGAACTGGCAAATTATCCACTTCGGCAGGTTGTTTCTGATAAGCCAAAAACGGAATCTCATCCGTTTTCTAAGGGAGACAGCTGGGAGAATATTTCCAGATGATACGCTTTCAGATAAACTTAGCTTTATCCGAAGCGTATGCGATTGGAATGGATACCCCGAAAACTCCATCCAGACCAAAATGGAGTTCCCGCTGCCAAAGATGAAACCCGTTTCCACGGAAAAACAAGTAATATACCTGTTGTTACCGTTTGTGATGCGGTTGCTGAACGAACTGCCCGAAGGTATCCCATAGCCACTTTAGGAACGTACTGCGTGGTCGATTGTGCGCCCGCAAGTCGAGTACAGGATACTTCAATCGCAGCTTCCCTTCTGGGTACACTTTCTCCTGCTCGTGTCGAACAAGATATCTTGGGAAAAGGGGCAAGAGACTGTTCGTCAGGGCTCCTGAACATTGCCTAGCTTGGCTTCACACCAGTGTGAGGAAGAATGTGACCAATGAATTGTGGTCGCACCCAGGGGATTCTGAACGTCGAATCATTTCGCACGATGCATTCCAGCCCATCTACTGTGAACCCGGATACCACGCACAAACGGTCAGGTGTCGCTTGCTTTCGATGATGGAGGCGATCGCAATTCGCTTCCAAAACTCAGACGTATGTTCGCAAAAAGTTTCCCCAAACACCCCGTAGATTTCAGGTACAGGCCAGCAAGACTAACGTCGATCACTCCACTTCACCCATCTTCACATCAACTAGACCAATCACGTAGTCTTATCGACCAGACACTTTGATTCAGTGACTCATTACGTTTAACCCTCATGTGTTCATTTTAGTCTGCTAACTTGTGGTTGTAATAGCCTAAAGGCGAATCACTGAAAAGAAGCTTGTTCGCTACCTTTTGTTTCTGAGGTTACAAGATGGCTTGAGGCTCGAAGGACAAAGTCGTTCCCCCAGCGTCGATCACTGAAAGGCCCGTTTTCTCTCAACATGCTTTGTTGGCGTGATGCGGGCGCCTTGGCCCCGAATTTTGCTTAAAATATGCAGACTTAGCATCAGATCACTCCATCTGTGATACGCTTGTTGTTCTGTGGCGGAGAAACATCATTTAAACGTACTAGGGTAATGCTATTGTGGTTTTTGTCCGTGGCCGTAAGAAGGGTTTGGTATTGGTAGGTTACGTGTCACATTCTAACTGTCTAGCTTGAATTCTCACCACACCGTCAGACGCCTGACCCCACGGCAGTTCACGCGTTGCCTGTGACGTGAGACATCACATTGCTCTACTGCCCTTCATTCCTCGGTGTCCATTTTGATTTCGTCCCCCCCCCCCCCATGTAGAGAAGGAATAGACCCCCCTGTAGGCGTCAAGTAGACGCAGATCAAGCGTTCCTAAGCCGCGGGCGAAATGTGACCATCGGTGAGCACTGTGATTGGGTGGACAAACTGCGCGCGTGATGTTATGGTGTTTGGTGCTGAATCGACCAATCAAGCACGCAGATAAGTATCGGTGGCATATCGGGTCATCACCATAATTACACCTCAGCTACTGTGCCGCAGTACATAAAAAAAGAAAATAAATACAAACAGTTGCATGCCAGCTGAGCTACCAGCAACGCATGGGCATCGTTCCGGTAAGCTACCAGCCGGCTACTAGGCAACAAGAAAAATTATGTACAATTATAATAAGCTACGAAATGAGATAGTGGTTGGAGGGGAGGCTAAAAAGGAATGGGAGGGACAAAGAAACTCACAGCAGGAACCCCACTGAGTTCGCACCCTAACCAAGTTGGCAAATGTTTTTTTAGCCAAACATGTTCATAGTCTTTTGGTCCCCAGCCAGGAAGTTGTGAAGCTCCAACCGAGGCCAGTTCCGAAGTGAGGACCTTCATTCCTCTCGACTAAGTCATCGCTTGGCCAGAGCATCAGGAATTTGTTTGAAGAGAGATTCATTGTATTGCGTGGACAGGATACTGTCAGGTTGCCCTGGAGAACGATTAGGGTTCTCAACCAAAGCCTTTGGTTCAGAAACTTGACCGCAAGGCAGCGGGTTTGGCGTTGGGCTACAAAGAGTCAGTTTTAATTAATAAGGTGCCACCCTCATTCCAAACCCCAACCTGGAGGACCAGGAGGCTGAGTTTGTCTGGCCTCTAACCATTGACCAATCTGGTATGAGTGGATCTGAAGGCGCAAAAATACACCACCCAGCGTAGCTCAATGGATCACTGAGGCACACAAACCATCGCACCACGGTAAGGTCTAACTTCATTGCGATGGGGCACATCGGGTGATTTTGGCCGGATCTGTCATCGACTCAGCTGAGGCGGGCATTTATTTGCAAGTTGATTAAAACATCCGTTGTCGTCCATCATCAACCGGTCTTTCATGTCACCACCCACCGTTTTATGGTAAGACGTATGTAGATAAGTAATTTGGGGATGTACACAAGCGAAGTGATCAAGGCAAACCGTGCGAGATGAGAAAACGCTTAGGGTACTCTTTGGGTGCACTTGGGTGTTATACCAGAGCGAATCGTACTAACACTTAGTAGAAAGTAGGCTCTGCGATGTAGTGGAGTTGAACTGCCTGACGAGTCGGAGCTCAGCTGGAAAACCCTGTTTCGAAATCAGGAGATAGTCGCCAGCCTACGCTGCTCCACTAATTGGTCGATGACGCTGCCCTGCTAGCTGTAATCTTGTTAAAGTGAGTCAGAATATGCGGAGGACGCAGTGCAGCCGCGTCGATAAGTTTCAACGCAACGCGGAATTGCGTAAAAAGTACCGTCTAACGACGTAGGGATAATACGTCTCAGCAACTCGACCTCGTTGCTTAATGTGTCTACCCCCTGGTTTCGCTGAATAGTATATCTCGTGAACGCGATATACCAATGGCGTTTGTTCCTGTGTACATCTACATATTAGCTTCACACTCACACATTATCTTCTTGTCGCTCACTCGGCTGTACATTCTTGTCGGTTGTCTCTCGGCCATACTTTTAGCTTCTGGCGAAGAAGGTGTTCACATTGTACAATTTGACTGTGCAGCAGCTCAGTAAGCAAGACCACTACGATTTCGGCCTAAGGGCCTTGGTTTCTGTCCTTCGGTACGCCGGTCGTAAAAAGCGCTCCAGCCCGACGATGTCCGACGAGGAGATTCTGCTTCTATCGCTGAATGATATGAATCTGGCAAAGCTGACCTCCGCCGACCTACCGCTATTCCGTGGGATCATGGCCGACTTATTCCCCGGAGTGGAATCGCCTACCATGGATTACAGCGTTGTGAGTTATTTCCACCTTGTAAACTCTTCGATATATTTCACATTCCACAGACTTACCTCGGTTAGTCACGATCGGCCTGCTATCTCTGATTGTGAGCGATGCACGTGTCTCCTCCTTCCCCTTCGCCACCATGAAAGCAATATGTCGTGTTACTTACCCGTGCTTTGATATCCCTGCACAAAGTTGATGCATAACACTTCTAGTATAGTGTCACGGCTTGGTAAGGGAGTCACGTTGCGTGTGAGATGCTCGTCGGAGCTGCACCGGTAGTCCCATGTTTTTCAACTCATCTCATGTATATACAACAGCCGACAAGTTAGTTTATTATCTTGTAAGAGCTACCGATTAGGTTTCAGGTTGGTGTGTATTGTGTCGCCGCTGACTGCTCGCTTCCCAATGACCGCAAGAAGAATAGGAAGAGGAGCCAGGTCCAAATAATTACACGAGTAATCTGCTCCTTTAAATAGGGTACAGCGGTAGTGGAAGCCAGGTTACTAAAAGACGTTGGAGCCAGCCAACCTCATAAGCGACAACAAATAATACGAGCGAATGAGAAGTGACAAAAGGAAGAACCAATCAGACAAGTTCGATGAAACGGCATTAGCGGAAATATTCCCCTGAGATGGCATCCATTTCAAAGGACGTTTAAACAAATGTCACGAAACAAACGGTATGGAAACTGTTAGAATAATGACTATTTGATATTCAATTTTTGTAAACGAACTTAATAGCCATTCTTTATTTTTCTTATTTTCTACTTCTTAACGGTTGTTTAAACGCTTCTATGTGTTAACCCGATTGGTACACACAGGTCATTGTTAATGGACGCTCATCTCCGTGTCATCTTCAGTAGTGCCATTTGCAAGAACACATTTTATTGGTTTGTCTCCGCATCATTTTCCTACTTGGTTATGTTAAAGGAATATCTAGTTGTTATTGAATGATTGTACTAGTTTTTAATTTTTTTGGTCCGCACTTTTTATTCTCCTTTGTTTCGTATTTGTTTAAACGCTACATTTCGTTATGCTGATTGGCCAGTGCCCGTCACTGTAAATGGATGTTCGCTTTACGCTTGGGGTCCCATGATGTTATTTTTAAGGACATGTGCGATTCGCTCTTGATTACACGGTTGCGTATGCGCCCGTTGCATTTGACGTTTACCTCCTGTTGGTTGGCTCAAGTCTAAGTTAGTAGCTTCCCGTCATTTTGCCTTCAAAACTATATATATATATATATATATATATATATATATATATATATATATATATATATATATATATATATATATATATATATATATATATATATATATATATAGAAAAATTGCAACAAACAACAAATGTTCACTACTTAACCTCCTAAAAGTGGGACGCAGGTGTAAGCTATTGAGTTGGTTCCCGTGAACCTCTGTCACCACCGCACTGGGTTATCAACCGCGAATGTAGGTGCTCATGTGATCGGCTGACACTTGATTTTGCCTTAAATGAAGCACTCCTTGGCTCTTAGCTTCCGCCTTTTCGTCAGGTGTGCAGTCGGGATCCTCCATCAACTTGGTACACTCCTCGAGTGTACACGCTGTTGTACTCACTAGGCTACCGGCCATCCCACTAATCTTCTCGACTGCCCAGGTTTTTCCACTCGTGCAGATAACGCCGTTCACTGTGTACACTGTCTTAACGGATCGCGTCTGTTGTGTCGGACCCCTCGACTGTTTCCACCCACTAACGGCAGTGAGAACACGAACGAGCAGCTGACTCCTTCCCCCCACGAGCGCAAGGACTCTAATGGCGTGTCGAGAAAGAATCCCATGCATTGAATCATGTCTGTTTAAATAGTTTTAAGCATGGTCTGAAGGGAAGCTACTACAAACATTTATGCCAACCATATTGCTAAAAGCATGCAAGCAAAATGAAGCTAATGTAGAGTGATCAACAAGCGAACCAATAAGATACACGCAACGAACGAAAAGAGAGGGCGTTTGTATTCAAATGGAATTGCGATTGGAGAGCAAGAACATTGACCACAAGCAGCCAATAAAATTAGCAAACAAATGTTAACAAACAAATGTTACTAATATCGATAGCTGAAGGAAACAAATCGGTAAGGTTTCCAAAATATCTATGTGCAATACGTGTCTCCCTAACAGGACCCAGGTTTCTTTACATAGGGGAAACGGCTTCATTAGCTTGACACCCAAACGTAAAAGGTAACCAGAGTGCTGTAAGCGCATATATATATATATATATATATATATATATATATATATATATATATTCAACACTTAACCAAGTACAACATAATTGGCTGAGTGCCGAAACACATAACAGGAAAAAATAGCGTGAGAAGCAAAACAACTGTTAGGGTAGAAGAGTCTCACAGAAAGTGCGCCATTGCGTACGGTCCTTAGTCATGTCTTCCAGCGTTTGCAATCAGATGTGCTCGGGGTCCTTTGGTCCCCAACCCGGGAGTCGGGAACGCCATACAACAGCCAGCTTCCACTTTTGAGCCTGAACGCATTGGATCCGAGTTTTATATTGCCCTTCTTTTCGTCGCTTCCAAGCCACGCCTTTGCTCGCAAATAGGGCTCGTCGTGGTAACTGCTTGGTAGGCATGCGGAGCACATGCCCAAGACAGCGAAGGCTCCGCAGTGAAATGATGCTATCAATCGGTCGGCGGAGCTCGTTAGATCTGAAGACTCGCCGACGGACTTCCTCATTACTGATGTGATGCTGCCATCGAACACCAGCAATGCTTTGCAGGCAGCGGTGATCGAAAACGGATAGCCGCTGAACATCGCTTTTGCGAACGGGTCAAGTCTCACAGCCGTACAGCAAAATCGCTCGTACCGTAGCATTATAGACTCGTCCCTTGAGAGAAAGGCTAAGGTCACGACGAAGCCAGAGGAGACAAAACTTAGCGAAAGCAACTCTAGCCTTGGAGACACGCAAGAAGATCTCATCTGTTAAACCGCCAATACTAAGACAACTCCTAAGATAAATGAATTTGTCGACCAATTCAAGCGGATGTCCCGAAAGGGTGAGAGAAGGACATGTGCTTGGACAGTCCTATAATAGGACCTTACATATGGAAGGGCCAGAAGTAAACCCAAATTGGGAGACGGACATCCCCAGTCTGAGCAGCACATGCTGGGCGGCTTGGGAGGACCCGAAAATCACAGCGACGTCATCGGCCTACTCGAAGGCGGTCACCATAGAGAAGTTCAACACCGCAGGACTCAGAGTTATCCAGGGCAGTATCCAGGATATGATCCATGGCGAAGTTGAACAAGAATGGAGAGGCTGGACAACCCTGTCTAGCACCGCTAGTGATAGTGAAAGGAGGCGAAATGTCTCACCATGCTCGCACGCGGCCCGAAGTTTCATGGTAAATGGCACGGAGAATGCTGATGTACTTCTCAGGTACTCCCCTCTTCAGTTAGCAGTCCCAAAGAGTCACTTTGTTAACAATCAAAAGTGGCTGGAATGTCCAAGAATATGACTATAGCTGGTCCACTGGACGTATGGCGATGTTCAAGTATCTGGCGGATGGTAAAGATGTGATCGGCGTAACTGCGACCGGAGCGAAATTCATCTTGTTGTTCACGCAGGTGCTGTTCCCGTACGCAACTGAGCCTCCGCAAGAGTATGGCAGCGAGCAGTTTGGATGCGACACAAATGATACTGATGCCACTATGGTTGGAGTAAATGGTCCGGTTTCCATTTTGTAAAAAGGTACAGCATCTGCTAAATTCCAGTCGGATGGAATGGTTTCAGTAGTCCAAATCTGATGGAATAGAGATGTCAGTCCGCAAGTGAGAGTAGGAAGGACCTCCATATTTGAAGAGGGTAGGAGGAAGTTCATCTGGGCCAGGTGACTTGTAGAGCTTCAGTAGGCGGAGCTCATTGGAAACCTCAGCCTCTCTCGGTGGAGAAACATCCACGCACTAGGGAACGCTGTGAACCCCGGAAGATCGACTAAGTTGCGCTTCTGGCCAGTTGAACTGATCTTCAAATTGCTCCGCTCATCGTACCAGACGACGGTGACGACTGTGAATTAGGCCACTGCCATTTTCACGCAAATCCTCACTCACTATTGGTCTTCTGCCTCCCGTGGAGCGAATAACTTGACAGAGTTTGCGGGTTTTCTGATGAGGCTGCCAGCTCCATCTCAACGACACTCTGTGTCTACAAAATCTCGCGATCTTTCCTGAGGAGCTGTCTGAGTCCAGCACTTGTAATTCTGCATAGTGCGCTGTACAGAACTCCGGAGGAAATTGTTCGAGGACTTTCCATGAATTGGAGATATTGTGCGAATATCCAATGACTATCGGCTCGTCTAGCGAAGCCACAGACCAGGGTATCGGACTTTCGTAAGGCGCTCTGGATTTGTGCTCAGGGTGTCTTAACATCGGAGAATAGAGAAGAAAGGTTGGAGACTAGTGTGTTCTGAAGTGCGCCGATAACATTTGGGGCGGCGAGCTTGTCTGTGTCAAGCCGTTTCCGGCGCGGCTGCTGGGAGTCTTCAAAGCGCAGAACGAAGTTAGCACACACGATCGCAAAATCCGGTCAGGTAAGTGCTCCAAATGGACTTGCAGTCCGTCAACAGTAACTAACAGCAATGTGGTCAATTTGCGTCCAAGATTGACCAGGTGCCGGAGGTCGCCAGGTGATTGTTGGCGCCGGGAACGTAGGAAATTGGTACTGGAGAAGAACAAGCCGTGGTTGGCGCACAGTTGAAGGAGTCGATCGCTGTTGTCCGCCCTGCGAGTACCGTGGCTGTGTTGACCCCCAACTTCGCGCCCATGCACCTCTAGTCTACCGACCTGTGCATTTAGGTCGCCGGCGAGTATCACGATGTCCGTGCGGCGTTTCTTGCGGAGGAGGTCGGTGAGTTGGCGGTATAACTCGTCTTTAGCTTCGTCCGGACTGCAGTCCGTAGGAGCGCACGCCGCCAAGATGAATAAGCAGCGCTTTCTAGTCTCATGGCTGGAAGATCGCACTGAGCTTTCCAAGCGGACTGCATAAAGACGGCTGTTGACCGGGAACCAGTCAATGAGCGCTGCTTCAGCACGCTAGCTTAACACAACTCCTACGCCGGCGCAACCAGAGGCTGCCGCTGTCGCATCTTCAGAAAAGCGCAAGGTGAATGTGCAATTGGAACTTGAGGATGGTGAGAGCAATCGCAGCATTGCGCTGGAGTCTTGTAAACGGGTTTCGGTTAGGCAGCAAGGTCCATTGAGAGGCTTTCCTTTTGAACCAACCTGCATGAGCGTTCGAACATCGAACGTAGCTAGCTTGAAGAGCGAACGGGATGCAATAAAAGCTTTACTGTTGGCATTGGAATGTGTGCGATCGGTTTTAAGCGGTTCATTGATGAGGTCACAGGTACCGATTTATTTGCAATGCACTTTTAGCAACTCGAATTTGAAGGGGTTGCCAAGAACAGGAAAGTTGAATAAAGGTGGAAGGAAGAACATGCTTTACGGTGCGGTGGAGTGAGGTTTAGCATGCCAGGCCGCCAGCACCCCGGCCAAGGAGAGAGAGAGAGTTCAAAGAGCGAGAAAGGTAAGCGGAGGGTTGTAAATCCATAATTTCATGTGTTGTGTGGGCATACAGCTTCCCGGTTGCCCAGGCAGAGGAAGGGGATTGACTTAGGGAGCCCACCCGGACCCTTTGGTTATAGGGACCTGACCGGCAAAGCAGCGGGGCGAATTCAGAGGATGGTGCCCATTGGGAGGCGGTGACCGATTGTTCGGTTCATACGCCTTTCGTTTGGCTGGCTGCCAAACAGGGGCCCAATAATCCCAGTAATTCAGCGTCAAGCTGAAGGATTAGAATGCTCTAGTGAGGTGAAGCAAGGGGCAGTGACTTTGTTTAGTGGAGAGTCACATCCGCCATGTCGCAGTGTTGTTAAACGGACCTTTGTAACTTTTTATAAGGAGAACGCTTGCCAGGCGAAAACCCACCGCGTTCTGGAACACTGCCGCCGAACCTTTCGCCGGAACGGGATAATCCCGAACCACTCAGCTTGCATCACGAGGAGGTAGTTCGGCAAAGCAGCCTGCTGTAAGAGTGCGGTCAGACAAAACCAATAAGGACTGAACAAATAAGGAGTGGGACTGCGGTCGGAAGGCAAAGGCAACTACTCTAAACAACCAATAGGGCTAGCGAAATGATACGTTAAAACAAACCTCAGTGAACCATCAGAGCAAAATGAAAGCGTACAGTCAGGAACGGTTACACAAGTATGCCTGCACTTTATTGCCTCTCTAACAGCGTTTCAGATCATGCTGTATCATGTGCAAATAGGTATGCTACTAGTGTGAACCACTGCAGCTTCATAATCGAAAGTGACGGATGTTTGTGCTTTCCCAGGTAGGGAATTTACATCTTGGCAGGGTAGCTTCATCCGTTGGTTATGGCAACTTGCGTTTCAGACCACATCCTGCGCTTTCCTTACTGCAGGTACAATAGTTATGCGTTGCAACAGAGCAGATATGATTGTGTGCCAATTAAGGTGAAACAGCCGTCCATCCCTAAGGCTCAAACATAAGCGAGTTCAAACAGAACGAGGGTTGTTTAATCTAGATGCATCTAAAAACCTCCAACAACAATACCAGTTTATCAGCATTCTTCTGAGGCAACGCGGTGCCCTAATCGGCGCACTGCTCGTTCTCTACAACTGTAATGTTGCCCTGCTTTCTTTATAGATTAAAAAAGCGGTAGAAGCGGCCTGCCAATCAAACAATTTGTGCATCATTCCATTCACAATGAACAAGGTAATACAGTTATACGAGACAAAGAGCTCACGGCACGCGGTGATGTTCGTTGGCAAGACTCTGTCTGGCAAGTCTACCACGTGGCGTTTGCTACAGACCATTCACAACAGCTTGGCCAAGACACCCCAGTCCGGATTTGAAAGAGTTCAGGATTATCCTCTCAATCCAAAGGCGTTATCTCTCGGAGAGCTATACGGTGAATTCAATTTATCGACAAACGAATGGACGGATGGTATTCTGTCCTCCATTATGAGACAGACGTGTACAGGTTCGAGATCTATTGTAAATGCGTGAAACGATCTTCTTTTGTCTTTATTTCTTAGTGTATTGATGCAGTATGTTGGAATTTGCACAAGTTACTTGCAGAAATTTGGGTTCAGATCGTCCTCAAATTTTTTGGGACAGCCTTGACCAGTGTTATCCTTACAGATGAGAAGTGATCCGGCAGAAAAAGGGGTAGAGGCTTCGGCTAATTCTCCAATTGTCCCAGGTTCTAGGTCTGCTACCTTCACCTAATGAGACCAAATAAGATCGAAACGCCTCATGTTGTGCCGTGTTTTCGGGAGCGCAACACCCAACGCGCATTTACTTTGGCTAGGGTCCCAGTGATGGCTTTGACCGAGGTTCACTTTATTGTGAATCGCGGTCTACGCAGTGATTACGCGTCGCAATCAATTCACACAACCAGTACATCAAAATGAGACTGCAATAAATCTTAGCTTTATTCAACCGTGCTCATCAAGTACGTGTGCTCGTACCCGTGTTCGCGAACAAAACAAGAGAGCTAAGCTGTAAACCATGAACCAGGCTATCCATCGGACGAGTTTATCTGGTATCTCCATTGGTATCGACCAGTCTGTTTAACAGAACTCGCTCAAATACTAAATTCTGGATTTCGCTCTGACATTTTAGCCCACGCAGAGGCGCCTTCTAGCGTCATGCTAGCATACCTCTGTGGCATAAAGCAACCAGCCACATGCGTCTCCTGACAGACAGTGACTCGAGACAGCCAATCATAACAGCTAATACTGCGAAAAATTGAAATCCAAAGGGTGACATTGCTTTGCAATTCTTTGAACTGTTACTAATGACTCTTTGCAGAGTGGGTGATGCGCTCACCTGAGAAACATAATGGTTGCTCCATTCTTTCCTCATTCTCTTGCAATGGTAACCAGAATGTTGCATCGTGGCCGGTTGTTCGCACCCCAGGACCGCAATAAGAACACGGAAGACGAGCCAAGACAGAACTGTTCACATGAGATAACTGCTTCATTTAAATAAAGTACAGTAGTGGCAGAACTAAAGCTTATAAAATATCTTGAAGCCAACCACCAACTTGGGAAACACTGAATAACACAGGCGAATGAGATGCGGTAGAAATGGGTACCAGTTTACACCTTTGCAACATATCACGATGCTCGTGGCCTAGGCTGGGTTGACTGGTCGAAAAACCATTGGGCCCTTTTTCTTTTCCAGCAGTGTGTCCGGTAGGTTGTTGTTTAACAGTACCAATGTTTGACATTTCATAGCATCATCGTACATGGAAATGTTGCAGAGCAGCGTCAGTCCGCAGCGACAGTCGGAAGGGTTAATGAATAACGTTTGGTGGCAGCAGGATGGCGCGCCTGCATATTAGGTGCAATCGGTTCGTGCCTACCTGAACGAGACATTCGGTGGACGTTTGATCGGTCGCGGAGGACCGATAGAACAGCCTGCGCGATCACCGGGTCTGAATCCCATGGACTTTTTCCTATGGGGATACTTGAAGCGCAGAGTTTATAGAACGAAACACAAAAAGCTGGATGAATAGAAAGAGAACATTGTGAACTAATGTAGGCAGATTTCGTTGGAGACATTGCAAAAGTACTCACCAACACCATCCGGCGAATACTCCTCTGTAGCCAAAACTACGGAGGGCACTTCGAAGATCTGATTCGTTGATATTTACATACATGCACACATTTTATGTAAATATAAGTAAAGAAATGAATAAATGCATATTCTCCATTGTGCACGAGAAACACCATCGAGGGCCTGATTAATGTGTACAACTGGAAATAGTTGCATGCACGACTAAATTGGTATGTTGTCTAATTGTGCCACCAGTTCGTCGGGGCAGAATGAAATCTAAGAGCATTGCCACTTCAAGTCAAGTCAGAAATTAATTTTTATGCACCCATAAATCGTGAATTCTCAGCTGTAACACACGCGATCGAAACGGTAAAGCAAACAACACTGTAACCTTGCAATGTGCTCCCGGCAGTATGATTCCCTTTAGCAGCGAAAGCAGCGTAACAAAGGCTTACGGGTTTAATGTTGGAAGTTTGTGAGTAGGGTAAAGTTTGTAGAAAGTAGAAGTCACGATTAAAATTCACGCACAATAACATGCCTCGACGGGGAGTCGAACCCCGGTCCACGAATTTCCGGTCCGCTGCTCTATAATCTACAAACTTTACCCTACTCACAAACTTCCAACATTAATCTACCATCGCCCCTTGGACATTTGAAGGACAGGTACTTCGGTCCATTGGGAAGTGACGTGTGAGTGAGCCGATCTGCAACATCAGGACAGGTACTGTGAGCCCATTGGCAATACGTCGCGCACCAAGCAGAAGTCATGTGTTAAAATTTGCGCACCTAATCGTCAGCCCTCGGTAGCTCAGGTGGTAGAGCAGCGGACCGGAAATTCGGGGACCGGGGTTCGACTCCCCGTCGAGGCATATTATTGTGCGTGAATTTTAATGGTGACTTCTACTTTCTACAAGCTTACGGGTTTGTTGGAAGCTAGTCATGAGGCGATAACAGCTTTTGTGGCGATAGCAATACGGCGCCCATCAACCGGTCATCATATACGGCCAGGCTGCTTTTCCCAATTGCTAGCACAGCGCCCTATTAACCACTTCGTAGGGAACCGTTTTGTGAGCTTTTTCACCTGCGTGAAGGCCGACTACCGATCGATCGAAGCATGACACGTTCAGTGCGGCTGTGGTGTCTGGTTAACGTTCACTTCTCACAGCCGAACGGCTCGGTGTGCTCTACGATCGTAGGCACACATATCGTGTCTCTGTGCCTATCTCACCCCTGCCGGTAAAACAATTTGTGCCATTGGACAGTTAGTAATTCAGCGCACCGGGGTACGTCAGCACCTGAGTACAGCCGCTCCTAGCTCCGGATATGATTAATGCAACACCGCGTATATCTCCAGTAGACACCCTTCTAACACTGGATCTCTTTGAAAACGATTCGTTTGGCTAATTTTCTTATCCTTATATCGGCTAGCATGAGTCGCAACGGATTGCACGCACACAATGTTCCTAGGCATTGATGGAGCTCGACACGAATGGAGGCAGCGGGAATAATCAGAACCAGGTATCTACCGTTTCCACCTAACCTGTCATACGTGTTATTGGGGTGGTGTAGGTTGTGAATCTGGAAAAATCCCCCTTTTCCAAACTGTGCTGCGCCCGTTCTCAAAACAAATTATGGTTGAATCTCGAGCAACAGCAAAGGGTTCATGGAAGAAAAGTACGGAGGAATTGTTCAATCCTATCTTACAGCAAATCTGGTTTGGACAGTGAGTAGTTCTGCAATAAACAGACCGCCAAACACATTAGGACTTTCGACGCACCATGAAGGTTCCGTCATGATTTGTGCGGAGTGCCTGTACCGCCCTTACCATGACTCGTAGCGACGAAGCGATGTACCTAGCTTGCAACGATACCGCGATTCAACCGCTTAGGTGTGACCAACTGCCGAGACGGCATTGGGGCATTAAGAGTGGATCGGCACTGACACCTTGCGCTCGCGATTTGCACAAACCATAGCATGAGTGTTGGGCACATTTGAATTGACGAGCTCTTGACTAGTGTTACACCACAATGAAGCGAAATAGCTGGGTAAACTTGTTACTCTCATTCGTCAGCGACATCACAGGCCTGGGTCGAGAGCCTAGCGGGCCTGAGGATGAGAGATGACGCTAGACCCTAGTGGCGTATGCGACACGTGTACACTCCGAACACTGTAGCCCCACTGTGAGTAGGGCGGTTCTCAATATGAGCATGAGATATAAAAAAGCAGCACCTCAGAAGTGGCTAAAGTTTTTCTGCTTCTGCTACCAATATTATTCCTCTCTGCAAACATTTCACGTACTCTCCATTATATACAGATGAATCGCCAGTGTTGAAATGGATCGTGTTTGACGGCCCAGTCGACACGTTGTGGATAGAGAGCATGAACAGCGTTATGGACGACAACAAAGTGTTGACGCTTATAAACGGCGAACGAATTTCCATGCCTGAACAGGTGAGACTTGGTGACATTGGGGCCCAATCCTTTCTACAACATGTGGTTCTGCAACCGCAACACATTCCACAGTTAGTCCTTGTTTGTGTACAATGGATTTTTCGCTCGTCAATACCGCGACATATTTTACAACTAACATATTTAAAGTTCCGCCGACGAGCTTTGTCATTTAAATTTGGTGATTACTCATAAAGATTCAGAATTCCCACAGTTCATTCAAAGTGGTAAAATAGAACAGACAGAGACCAAAGAATTATCATGTTGGTTGATAAACTATTGAATTACTTGCAGAGAAGGCCAAAACACCCAACTATTGAGGCACGGTGAGGAATGTAATTCAGTCGTCTTGTAATATATATATATATATATATATATATATATATATATATATCGTTGGCGGCATCCGGTTTCAGATTTGCCTGTCACTGTGGCCAGCCACAGAAAGCTTGCGCCTACAGAGGGACCATGGATGGCTTACGCTGTACCACCCACAGCTTCAACCATACATCCCATAACCATTGTAAAATCGAAGGAATAAGACCAGGAGGCATGTGGATGGGAGCCACGTTTCATCAACGGAGCCGGCCCACACTGCTTCACAAGCAAACACAGGCACGCTGTATTTGGGGAATCAAGTGCACACAAGGCGGTGGCTGGGCCGTAGTCCGCTCCACACTGAGTGCATGGAAACGCTCTTCGAGAATAGTACGACCAAAAAGACTTGCACCCCGTCCCCTCCATCAACGACCAACTGTCTACTGGAGCCAGTGTGGATGAGATAGTGGGTAATAGACAAGTAGGCACCTTGTCAACATGCACATCAAGCGCAGCCACACCAGGGATATCAGGCAACAGCCGATTAGCTGAGGCGGCGATAACAAGTAAAATAAATCGAATAATGAATAAAAATATGTTGGCCTAATTCTTAACTAAATGGGCATATGAAATAAATTGCTTGCGAACAAATTGGCCATAAGTACAGGGCTCCAAAAAATATACTATAAGAAAATGCCACGAACGCAAAATGTTATCGAAGTTAATAACAAGTAGCTTAAGTGACGTGTCCAAGTTAATAGAAGAGAGTTCAGGTAGACATTTAGATGAGATAAAAAAGCTTTAGGACAATATAGGAAAGCCACCACTTGAAATAAAGAAATTCAGCATGCAAGCACACGGTTAGCACATCGAATGCAGCGTACTTACAAACGCTGCGCCGGTTCTGCCTACGTTCTCTGCAGGAGTCGTCGTCGCTTCGGTGGTGGTCCTGAGTGACCTAGCTCATGGTTAACTAAGCCTGCCTGACTCAGGCACTCAATCACGCATGTACTGCAGCACCATGCGGTTGATGTCGTGGAGTACAACCCATTGGCACCTGTCGCTTCCGCAATTGCCGCCCCTTCTTTGCATGCACCAGGGTTTGCTCTTGTACCTCGGCAACTGTCTTCGTGATCAGATCACGCCATGCACGCCAAACAACCGCCTTCGATTCCCATGACCTGCAAGCAAACGTAGGACTTGGGAGGCTCACTTTGATCATGCCCTGGTAACGTAACTTCTGAGTCCACACATGCCGCTTCCCCAAACTCAGCTGACCATATAATAGCTGTTTAGGTATCCGCGTCGAATCAATACGGCTCACATGACTGAGCCAATCTCAGGTGTCTCAGCAAAAGTATGTAGTCCACTGCATACATTCCACTTCGGTGCAACACTTCCGTGTGCGCAACTCTGCCGCACCAACCGATGCGCAGAATCCGTCGCGGACACTGTTGATGGAACCGCTCGAAATATCGCACATCCCGCCGGTACATCGTACACCTTTCGCTGCCCTATAGATGAACGGACAGCACCATGGGTTTGTACACCATCAGCTTCGTGCCAATGGTAAGCTGATGGTTGTTCCACACTCGGTACTCAAGCTTCCCGAATGTCGTCGCTGCCTCCGAGACACAGGTACGAAGCTCAATGTGTAGCTGCTGATCAGTCGATATCACACTCCAAAGGTATCAGAAGCGGGAGGTGGTTTCGAATATTGTAGAACCAATGTTGATTCGCGGCACCATTGTTGATTGCATCTCCGGTGAATGCTGAAAGAGACGGACAGTGTTGCTTGTGTTGACGGTGAGCCCAAATTTGGCCCCTGTCAAAGCCAGAGCACTAGTCATGTGCTGCAACTCATCCGCGCGGTGTGAAAACAACGCACAGTCGTCAGCAAACAGTAACATATGGATAGTTGTCTCACAGACTAGAGTTCTCGCACCGAAACGACGGATGTTCAGCAACTCACCATCAATCCAGTGCGCCACACGAACACCGAGCACAACGAACGGGCACCAGCCGCATCAAAACCTAAGACATCATTGTATGGAGATAAATATTAAACAGGGCAGAAGCTAAGAGAAAGCCTTGCTTCACAACAGTGACAATTGTAAAGTCATCCGAGGTCTCTCCACTCAGCTGCACTCTCGCTCGCATACCACTGTGCAGACATTCAATTAAACTTACAAACTTACGCGGACAACCAAACTTACCCAACGTTAGGCACAATGCCACGCGGTTCGGGGTGGGGTGTGTGGATGGAGCTGTGAGTGGTGCAGCGCAAGCTGTGACTGGTCTATGAAAGTCTTAGTGGCAGGCGAATCCGGAACCGGATGCCGGCAACCATACATATCGCATATCGGAATGCGCAATCTCCCATACGGGCAAAATCTGAGACTTTATGAGTATTCAGTGGACGAGATAGCAGGTTATGACGTGGTTGTTTTGCACAGTCTAGTTAATCTGTGCCGCTCCTTACTGCAACTCAAGAGTAACACCAATTTGCGAGGTCACTCCTTGAAACTGGCAAAAAGGGTGCAGTCGTCTGGAGTGTTGTATAAATTTCCTCTCTATCCGTGTGTCACCCGAGGAGCGTTCTCACAGAATCTATTTCTGCATCGACCCTGTCCACCTTTAAAAATCGACTGTATGACACACTCAGCTACCTACCATTTGTTAGTTAGCACTGTCGCTCCTTGGATTTATTATTTAGCGCCTATGGAAGCTGCGAAACTACGCGGAGAGCAGGAGTGCTGCATTAAAAGTGCCAAGCCCCTTCTTTCGGCAGTAAAAGGACTAACTGATTTTCCTATCGTTCTTTGATAACGCATCAGACCAGCCAACCTGGTTTGTAAAACAGTGCTTCTTAGCTCGAATAAAATCATTGCTCATTGTCTTGCTGAGATAAAGCGGAGATCGCATCTCAGCAACGTAACACCACAATCCAGTTCCGAAAGGTTGTGTAGGCCTTTCTTCTCAAAGTTAGCCGATATTGTGATCACTCTCCATTGGGTTCAACACTGCCTTGTGAACCTTGGAGCGTATCTATGATACCTCTTTACAGTCTCATTGTACCACAGTTTCAATCGTTTATTCTGTTTTGTGATTGCACATTAACCCTGTCATAATATACTGCATTTTGTCAGTCAACTACGTCAGCAAATTGGTTTTATTTGAGCACCGCACCATACTATCCAGCAAGATGAGACCCCTGAGTTTCTTTGATACTTAACTGTACACTTGGGCTTTGGGCATTTTACCAGAACAAACAATGAGTAGCACCGGGACGTGCTTTACAGCGAGTGTTGCGCTGTTTAAATTGCATTTGGATCTGTATTTGCAGTTAAGTTTCCATTGTGATGTTGAAGTCCCCTGCCTATCTCGAATCATTCCACCTGGTGGTACAAGTTAGACAAAGAACACATGGCCCCGCATAGCTTGACTCTACACATCTGATGAGATGCTGTGGTGGCACCGAGCCAGCGGGGTTTTCTCAAATGAATCGTCAGGGCATGACGCTTTCTCAACGATCAGCCCCAAATTTTTCGACGTGATTATATCTACTATAATATGCCTTCCAAATAAATAGCATGGCGTGTGACGCTTGAGATGGAGGAAATTCGATTCATTCATCAATGCCGGGGAATCGAATATTAACCTGATGGTATCCTTTCCAGGTTTCCTTATTGTTCGAAGTTGAAGACCTGTCCGTGGCCTCACCAGCCACCGTGTCTCGCTGCGGTATGGTCTACAACGATGTCAATGATCTTGGCTGGTGGCCGTACGTCAACTCGTGGTTGGCATCCAAGTCGGACAAAACACTGGCAGAAGAGACCAAGAGGTTATTCGAAAAGTATGTGGAGAAACTTCATCAGTTCATACGCCAAAACTGCTACACGTTGGTACCGTTGAGTGAAATGAACACCGTGATTTCACTGTGCAGACTACTCGACGCGCTTGCCACTCCCGATGCATGGGTGAGTTTAATATATGTGACTTTTCCTTGAATTCTTCGCAATAGGGCTAACTTTTTCCATCTTATCATTGTTTTGGACTCTGTTTATTATGCCAGGAAATAAGGCTAGTTCTGGCAGCTGGTCTACAGTTTGTCTAAAGAAAACATTTTTACTTTGCATGAGCATTCAATACCTTTACCTCAAACGCCGTCATTCACGCCACATTTCACGAAGCCAACTATCCTCTAGCTTCGTAATGAGTTTGGTCTCTGTCCCATTAGGCATTCTGGCTGAATGCGCTCGCCTCAGTAAGCCGAAATCGCTGAAAGACGGGTAAAAAGAAACTCCCGTGGTAGAGCTGTACGCTATCGGGCGCGTCCCTAGGTTGCGGATTGGGGAATGCCTTCCTTGTGGAGGTAAATATGGTTATGTCTTGTTTGTTTTGCAAGCGTGATGAATAAGCACTCGCAGACAATTAGCGGCATCATCTCAGAGCGTGGGCAGTTCTGGGCTGATCACCTGGTTCTCCATAAAATACCACAAGGGCTCGTGTGCCGCTTTGTCAAAGCCAAAGTGACTGGCTATAGGGTCACTGGCCCTTCAATTCTGTAACCAAGGGTGAGTAACTAACGGAGGGCGGATGAACAACCTTACAGGTCACCGGCTTCTCTGTGAACTGCTACTGAACACAAAGAAGCCGAAAGAGCCACCCAGCTGTCAACGGTCTACGTGAATCGCAGCGCTGCCTTGTGGGGCAGGTCTTTATGACCAAAGACTCGGAGTGGGGGCCCACAAGTCAAGCTTTTTCTTGGACCAGAGCAACCGGTAAGATCTTAACCCATACAACGCATAAACCTTCGAAAAATTCTTAACCCTTACAATAACTACCTGCTTTTCCTCCTCTTGTTGTTTTTAACCATGTGTTGTGGCACAGCAAAACGCATATTGGTCAAGTATTATATATATATATATATATATATATATATATATATATATATATATATATATATATATATATATATATATATGGTTGGCGGCATCCGGTTTCGGATTTGCCTGTCACTGTGGCAAGCCACAGAAAGCCTGCGCCTACAGACGGACCATGGGTGGCTTGCGCTGCACCACCCACAGCTCCATCCACACACCCCATATCCAGTGTAAACCCAAAGGAATAAGACCAGGAGGCATGAGGATGGCAGCCACATTTCATCAACAGAGTCAGCCCACACTCTCTCACAGGCAAACACAAGCACGCGGTATTTGGGAATCAAAAGCACACAAGGCGGTGGCTGGACCGTAGTCCGCTCCACACTGCGTGCATGGAACCACACATTGATCCTAACACGGCCACAAGCACCGTGCACCCCGTCCCCTCCAGTAACGACCTACTGTCTCCTGAAGCCAGTATGGACGAGGTAGTGGGTAATAGACAAGTAGGCACCTTGTCAACATGCACATCAAGCGCAGCCACACCGGGGATATCAAGCAACAGCCAAACAATTGAGAGAAGGATACAAAGAAAATAACTCGAGTAATACATAAGGAAACGGTGACACAAATCCTAAATTAATGAGCATATGAAATAAGTTGTTTACAAAAGAATCCGAGATAAGTTTGTGAGGTCAGAAAGTATATTTTACGGAAATGCCCCAAACACTAAAATGTTATCGAAATTAACTACAATTGGCTTAAGCGACGTGTGCAAGTTTATAGAAGAGAGTACTGGTAGGCATTTATATGAGAAAGAATAGCATTAGGACAAAATTGAAAACCCACCACCTGAAATAAATAGACTGAGCATGCAAGCACGCGGTTAGTACATCGAATGCAGCGTACCTACCAACGCTGCGCCGGTTCTGCCTACGTTCTCTGCAGGACCCGTCGTCGCTTCGGTAGTGGTCCCGAGTAGTCTCGCTCATGGCTCATTAAGCCTGCCTGACTCAGGCACTCGCGACCACATGTGCTACAACACCATGTGCTCGATGTCGATGGAGTACAATCCATCGGTGCTTGCCGCTTCCGCACTTGCCGCTTCTTCTCTGCATGTATGAGGCCTTTATTCCGCACTTCGGCAACTGCCTTCATGATTAGATCGCGCCATGCACGCCGATCAACCGCCTTTGATTCTCATAACCTGCAAACGAAATTAGAACGTGAGAGGCTCACTTTGATCATGTCCTGGTAACGTAACTTTGGTTTCCCCACATGCCGTTTCCCATTACTCAGCTGACCGTATAAAAGTTGTTTCGGTATCCGCGTTGAATCCATACGCCACACATGACCGAGCCACCTCAGGTGTCTCAGTAAAAGTATGCAGTCCACTGCATACATCCCACTTCGGCGCAACACTTCCGTGTCAGCAACTCTGTCGCCTCAACTGATGCGCGAAATTCGTCGCAAACACTGCTGATGGAACCGCTCGAGATATCGCACATCCCGCCGGTACATCGTCCACGTTTCACTGCCGTATAGAAGAACGGACAGCACCATGGGTTTGTACACCATCAGCTTCGTGCCAATGGTAAGCTGATGGTTGTTCTACACTCGGTACTCAAGCTTCCCGAATGTCGCCGCTGCCTTCGATACGCGGATACGCAGCTCACTGTGTAGCTGCTGATCAGTCGACATCACACTCCCAAGGTAGCAGAAGCGGGAGGTGGTTTCCAATACTTCAACACCAATGCTGATTCGCGGCGATATTAAAGATTGCACCTCCGGTGAAGGCTGAAAGAGACAGACAGTTTTGATTGTGTTGATGGTAAGCCCGAATTTTACCGCTGTCAAAGCCAGAGCACTAGTCATGTGCTGCAACTCATCCGCGCTGTGTGCAAACAACGCACAGTCGTCAGTAAAGAGTAACCTATGGACAGTTTTCTCACAGACTAGAGTTCTCGCACCGAAACGACGGATGTTCAGCAACCCACCATCAATACGGTGCTCCACACGAACACCGTAAGCACAAGCCGCAACAAAAGCACAGGACATCGTTGCATGAAGATATATATTAAACAGGGCAGGAGCTAAGACACAGCCTTGCTTCACACCAGAGACAACTGCAAAGTCATCCGAGGTCTCTCCACTCAGCTGCACCCTCGCTCGCATACCACTGTGCAGACATACAATTAAACTTACAAACTTACGCGGGCAACCAAACTTACCCAACACCAGCCACAATGCCTCGCGGTTCACTGTATCAAATGCCTTGGTGAAATCAACAAAAATTGAGTACAATGGCTGGTGTGGTTCTCTGCACTTCTCTTGCAACTGACGAGCCGCAAACAGCATATCTATAGTGCTGCGACCCGAACGGAATCCACACTGCTCTTCCGGCACGTTAGATTCCACAACCTGACTGAGGAAGCGGTTGAGCAGGATTCGGGCAATCACCTTGCCCACACAACTCAACAAGTTGATGCCACGATAATTCGTGCAACATTGCTTGCACCCTTGTCCCTTGTACAGTGTTAGAACAAGGGAATCTTTCAGCTCAGGAGGCAACTCTTCCTCAGTCCATACGTGTTGCACCAAGTGGTTCAGCGCAGTCAACAACGCGGGTCCGCCGTGTTTCAATACTTCAGGCGGGATCCCGTTGGCCCCGGCACATTTGTCGGCTCGCAGCTGTGCTAGTGCTATCTGCGTCTCATCCAGTGTCGACGTGTACGCCAGTGTCGACTTCATATCGTGCTGCTTGAGGCCGTTAAAAGTAGGCCAGTCGATCTCTGAAAGAGACAGTCAAAGTGTTTCCGCCAGATCTGCATTTTGTCTGCAATCTGTGTGCAGGTAGCGCCTGAACTACCATCGAGCAGCATCCTCAGCGGCTGCAATCTCGGTCCATACACCGCCTTCAAGGAGTCAAAGAATTCCTTGTGTTGGCGGCGTTCGGCGTAGCATTCCATCTACTTCGCCTTCTCCGTCCACCATGCATTTTTATGCAACGGAGCTCTCCGGTCAGTCGTCGTCGAAGTTTGCGAAACTGACTATTCTTCCCCAACTCACTGGGGTCTGCGACATGTGCAGCAAATGCTGCATTCTTCCCCGACACCAATACGCCAATCGTCACATTGTTCTCATCAAACCAATCAGGCCGCTTACAGTTTGCGCGCCCGATGGTCTCCTCGGCAGCAGCTGTCACCTGGTCGCGAATGTGGTGCCACAGGTCGCCCACTGTGGCTATGCAGTCCACATCACACAGGCGTACAGCCATTGCCTTCTCCAGCTCAGTACGTTTCGCCACAGTACCGAGGATGTTAAATTTACGCCGGTTCACGGCGGGAGTGCAATACATAGATTTACGAAAATATATGTACAGTTTGATGCGCACCAATTTGTGGTCGGTGCCACAATCAGCTCCACGCAGTACACGTGTCATGCGCACTTCACGCATATCACGCTGACATAGTCGAGCGGGTGAGCGTGACCACTCCGTGGGTGCGTCCAGGTTGTTATATCACTCGCACTCAGTGCAAACCGAGTGTTCATGATCGTCATGTCGTGAGTGGCACACAGTGAGAGCAGCCTGTCACCGTTCGCATTCGATGAACCAATGGCATGCGGACCGATAACATCTGTCCACACCGATGCATCACGCCCAACGCGCGCGTTGAAATCACCCAGCAGAAATAGTCGGTCGCTCCTCAGCACAGACCGTATCACGGATGATAGCTCAGTGTAGAATTGATCACGCGTGTCATCAGGATAACACATGGTCTGACCGTACGTCCTTATAAAGGTGGCAAGCGTACCTCTTCCGAGTCATTGATTTCGATTCGTGCGAGACTGCAGGTCACGCGCCTATCGTCATCTTGACCTTTAGGGATTTACTGTCTTACTGGAGGCACGGATTTTCTCCTCAAGTGAGGAACTTTGTACATAAGACAGGATGCACCACTTAGTTATATTAACTTACGGAAAATCAGAATTCACATCCACATCCTTACTTGTCCCATGGCTGCGGAAAAGCAGCAACCAATAGTGTTATCGTCCAGAAACATCAGAGCATGGATACAACTCGATTGAGGGCGATTTCGAGAAAACCAAGCGTTACCTGCGGCTCAGTGGTGTACTAGTATGGGTCTTTGCCAGCTATCTCTTCGTCCCGATTTCAATCCCCAAGTTCAGCCGTCTCTACCGGAGGAGTAGAAAGGAGGACGTAACACGCCAGTCGACAAATGTGTCACATGAGCGATGCTCGTGGTCCGGCCCCCTGGTCGCGAGGTTCTTCTGTTCAGCTGAAGCGCTACTTGGTCAGTTAAACGAATGCGGGAACTTTTCCGTACAGAATACATGTACTCTTCGGTGGGCGTTTGATTAAGCTGTAGGTGTGTAATCTACAATGCAGTATATGTCTTCGTTGATAGACGTGCAACGAGTGACGGAACACCCCAGTGCCAAAAGTCATGAATTACTTCGAAGTCTGTTGCATCCTTTTCGCTTTACCTTTTGTTCGTTTCGTCATCGCTCGACCACTCGTCTTCGTGTCGTGCTTACCGCGGGGTCCATGAGGTTTCATCACCACATTTTGGATGTGGACCATAGTGGCGGGTTGTGATGTGACCTTTTCTCTTGAACGGCTTTAGTTGTCCTCCACAATTGTACGAAATGCGCGATCGCCCGCTAGCGACCTCGGAAGCCACCATCTGTGCTCTGGCTCTGGCTCGGTGAGGGGTGTGAGCTAAGGTGCAGCGTGTACGTCACAGTCCATGCAACCACCGAGGTTTATTCTATGCACTGAGCAGCCATTGAAAAGCCCATGTTGCGCGTTCAGGTGGGTTCATTCGCCATTGCACTGAGTTGTCGCTCGTATGAATGATAGATAGATAGGGCACCACCTGTAGTGCAGTTTGCTTCATTCAAAAAGCACAACAAAGTTCTCTGATGACTTAGGGTAAAGCTGACGGAGAGCAGGAGCCATTAGGATGCTTCACTCGGCGACATCACTGTCATCCGCAGTGATGGAAGCTACGGCTTAGTAGCGATGTCAGAAATAGCAGTGTCGGTACTGAGAGGGTAGACATTTCCTTCTGTGAAGTTAAGCAGGCCACACAGAAGACTACGGTTTGAGCACCGCAATTGTATGGATCAGGTCGGAGGTAGGAGCACTTTAGATCGTCGGATGGATTAGCATCTGACACTCATCTGACAGCTTCTGGCGTGTGACTGTGCTGTCATTTTGCACCATGGATAGGAGACGCGTTCATATGTTGGTACCTTTAATGGATTGGAGGTCAGAAAAGATCAGATTTTTAAACGGACGCCCCTTGAGATAATAGACCCGAAAGCACACGCATCTATGACTGATGATATCCACACGTGATAAAGCCAACTGGATATAGTAATATCGGTACTGAACAGTGAGGGCTGTTTACTAAATATCTATGGGAGCGGCTGTACCTTCTCGAAGATGATAATGTCTCGGAGTTTCTTCGGTAGGAGGAAATCGGTCTCACAGTGGGACTCAACAGTGCCCAACTTCCGAAAGAGCAGTCGGACCTACCACGCCGCATCTTGGGCGGCTGTGTCAACCGTGAATAGATACTCGTACTGCTTATAAAAAGAAGCGAGGTTATGGAGGCACTGTGACTATATGGGGACTGTGACATACCGTTAGGAACGCGGCCCACTTATTGGGAGCCGTTAATGGGACCTGCGGAAGAAGTTATCAGTCAGTTGATACGAGCATTGGTTGAGCTGCTGCTGAACACACGCTTTAATTGGACAAACTACTTTACCATGACTCGATAGAGCCCGCCCCTAAATTGTTATATCAGTGTATTCGGAAGGATCAAATAGCAGTATTCAAAAGTCCCCCGATCGCAAATAGCTAAACGGAGTGCGCATATCCACCGAGCGATATCACAAACCTTAGCCAAGAATGAGCGACGGATAACCTCACTAGCGAGCGCTAAGGTGGGACGGAAAGGGTAAACCACAACGAAACCGTGAACCCAGGGAACGAGACTGGCCCCTAGAGTGGGAGTATGGCTGGGTGGGATGTACAATGAACTCTGCGTGAGTGTTGAATGACCGTCACACATAGTATTTTCGACGAAACATGCGTACTCGACCAGCATGAGATCACACACTTCTTATTTGAGAGTCTCAACCTCTTCGGCTCGAGGATGTCCGACATCCTCACTTCCTCAAATCCAGATGCTATGAACTAGCTTCAAGCCACATTGTATGATGAAATCACTCATTCTGTTCTAGCGGTAGCTGAATGATACATGAGTAAAACGCATTGCCTTATGATACACCGGACAACTGTATCCATTCAGGCCCGGCGAGTGTCGAACATGGCTTATTTCTCCTTGCAAACATGGAGTGGTGAGACATGTGGCGGTAGCGGCAACTATCAACTCGGCAAGAGGAGCAGAACTTGCTCTCCCGTTGACGATAATCTGGTTAGTCTCAGCCATTAGGCCGAAGTCACTACAACCCCGTCCCCCAAAAATCGCCAACCTCGCTGCTGCGCTCATTAATTTGTATGGTTTTCTAACTAAAATGTTGTCTGTGGAGCAAGATTACTAATGGAATAAGCGATGAAAGCCGAGTGGAAGTTCCTGTAAGCTTCAGCTTGTCCCTGCGTCTTTGGCTATTTGCGCCTTATTCCTCTAATACATCTACGCAAAACGTAAACACCTTAACCTTAGCGTTTGCTGATTGTTCAACTCCTTTCAATCCTCCCATGTCTTCTTTCTCTTGCAACTTATGTAGCCCAGCTGCCATCCTCCATGGCTAGTTGGCATCTGCCTTTAACGGTCATGGCTTCGATCCCCGGTAGAGACCGAGGGAATACGCACCACTGATGAGCCCCAATAAGGCAATACGTGTCTGAAGCTTCTCCAGATTGTGGCTGAGCTATGTAGCTTGTAAGCTGCTAGGATGAAAACATTAAAAATTTCTCATTTTCGTTATTACAGCAAGATGACATCCATACGGCACGATTACCTATAACTAAAAATGTATTGTGAGCGTTCATGGTAGACCCGAACCATACAGTCCACTGATGCTGGAACGAGTCAGATCCTGTACGCTTCAGCAGAGGATCGTAGTGACGACTTTCGTTTAATGCTTGTTATTTTGAGTATTGAGTGCGACTATGGTGTTGGCGAGTGGTCTGAGCTTGTGACGTTGCGCAGCATTCTAACTAACCTATAATGACAGTTAATCTGAAATGTTAGCCACGGAACGGCAAGCAAATATAAGTGTTGGCAGTTCGGAACACATAAGGCTGTTTGTATTTAGGCCAACCTGATTACCGGACATTTTATACGGCTTTTCGCACAACGACTCTCGAATACGTGTGAAGCGAGAAGCACCACAAGTTGGTCAAACGATGACGCCGAATCGGGGAAAGGTGTCTTTTGACAAGCATGTGATCCGCCCCTGCAGTCTGAGTCGGGTAAGTGACTGCGGCGGTCTAGATTTCAGCTGACGGTCTTGTCCAACCGTTTGTCCCGAATTCTCTGAACATCGACAGCAGACCTCACATTGCCCACTTGACCTATCTCCGTCACTTCCTACACAAATGTAGTCTATTCTCTCTCATACGTTATTCAGTGTCAGCGAATCCACTGCGGCACATGAATAGGAGTAGAGAACCTGTCTACGACCGTTTTTCACAGCTTTTAGTCATTAGCAACAGTTAAGTCTATTTTTCCACAACAAAACATTTTACTTCGCTTTTCAGCAGTAACCTTGTTCCCAGGTGTGCATCAAATATTCTGCCTTAAAGTCACACAGATGTGCACAGTTAAACATATTACTGCTATCTCGCATTGTCGTGTGCTCCTATGTGACACCGAAATGGGCCTTGCTTTGTTCTCGCAGGTGGATCCGGCAGATACGGACTACTTTGTTCGATTGCTCGAGATGACTTTTCAGTTTTGTATGATTTGGAGTATATGCTGTACAGTGGACGAAGAGGGTCGGAAGAAAGTCGACGCGTACATCCGCGAACTAGAAGGCAGCTTTCCCAATAAGGATTCTGTCTATGAGTACTTCGTGGATCCCAAGGGACGAAGCTGGTCACACTGGGAGGAAAAACTGCGCACTGGCTGGAAATATGTCCAAAAGTTGGCTTAACTTTTTCATTTAGGATATTTATAACCGTGTCTTTTTCCTTGGGTCGCTGATTTTATTTCTCTCTGCTGTTTTCCCAGTGAACCATTCCACAAAATCTTGGTACCTACTGTGGACACAGTGCGGTACCAGTTTTTGGCAGAGGCCATGATTCAGCGGCACAATCCGATATTGATGGTCGGTCCCGTGGGTACCGGAAAGACCTCGTTAGCGGTGAACATTCTGAACAGCTTGGACTCTTCGACGTGGTCTCACCTGACCATAAACATGTCCGCTCAAGTAAGACACATCTGATAACAGACTACCCGACGACTCTAAGTGCCAACGCACTTTCAGGTGTGCGACATATAAACTATTGTAGTTTCTAACTGTTATGATGATGGCTACTTGATATACAGTTTGCGACAATTCCAAGTTACGGACTTTCATTTCGGTATTATCTTTTTTGACAATTATTTAGACGCATCATTTCTTTTATTTGATTGTTCAGCATATGTCTTTCTTAATGGGGCTTAACTTAGGGCTCAATTTCCGCCAATACCCTTTTCTCAGATATGCGTAATTGGTTCTTACTTTAATCGCTTCTCATTCGCCTTTGTCACTCAGCGTTCTCCAGGTTGTTGGTTCGCTCCGAAGCATTTTAGTGGCTTTGTTCCTGTCACTACTCGCACATTATCTAAGCGTGGTAGTAGTAGTAGTAGTAGTAGTAGTAGTAGTAGTAGTAGTAGTAGTAGTAGTAGTAGTAGACAAGCTTGCCATAGCTTGTCTATCGTGCTCTCATTGCTGTCATCGGGTGCGAGCGTTTTGTGGCACAAACGTCCCACTATAACGTATGAAGCTCAATTTTTGGTTACTAAGACTTGATACCACGGAATAGGCTCGGTGGAACCACCCACTTTCAGTGGGCGGGCCTGCAGTGTTATCCATGTCCTTACTAACAATGAAGCTACTTGACATAATAACGCAGTGGAAACCAGTTGGCTATGCACACGTTCAACAACTAATTATACCCACAACATCACTAACTCTAATCCCTTTAGACACAGCAAACTAGATAGTTTTATGTTCAAATGTAAAGCTGCCAATAAAACAATGCAGTCGGACCATTCTAACGCTCCTGCACTTTCTGCCACTGTGCCTCCGAATTTTATCACAATCCGGCCTGCATACACTCATTCAATCAGGCTCGACGTGCGCTTCGCAACGCTTTATAGACCAAAGCTGAGCATCACGGATTACCGTCGCTTACTCATTTTGGAGTCCTGTGTGTTCTCTACTGTAAACACGCGCAGAAATTCATTCCCTTTGCATCCTAGGCCACAAATTGTGACCTTTTCCGGAGGCCTGATTTGAGGGTTCTCTGACAAGCTCACAATTGCTCCAATCAGTAGTTGTAACTCTATCACATTTACCATTGCCGTCGTTGTTGCTCGAATATTGCCTACAATTCGCAGTCCACCCCACCCATCAACTTGCTATCCATAGCTCGCGTGTCTGTCTAATCGCATCGTCCATCTGTGGTTTTGACATGTACGTGCGATGCGACCATTCTTGCAGTCAGCAACTTCCATCTATCGGACACTGTGAATTTAGCCTTTGCTTACGCTCAGCGACTGTATCCGTATATACCCAGATCTACGCCCATAACCGCGCCTCGCAGTTATCGGATCGATCGACGTTCGTCACACAAATTGTTCCGCGGACCCGAAATGTTATAGGACGAATCTGGACGACCAATCAGTACGCAGAAGCCGTACGGTCGGTTTCCGCCGCATTTCTACTAAGTTGATAAACTTAGGATACTTTCTGCGCGTTTATCCTACGCAGACTCTTTAACAATGGAAAATGATATAACACGGATAAAAAATCCAAGGCTTGACAAGTCCCGTAGGATGATTTGTGGGAATAAGGTTAGTTCAAAAAAAGTTGCACAAAAGTGAAAAAGCACATCTGTGGATTCACCATGTTATCCACATTAACACAAATGTATATCGTCTACCCCGGTTTCGTGGGGTTGCTGAGCGCAATGTTTGCCTGCGCCATGTCGTCAGTTAATGAATAGACATCAGCTCAAGTAATGTAGGTGGTGTAAAGTATCGTCGAGTAGTTGTTTGAAGATGGGTAGCGTGGACGCGGAAGTGCGAAAAGTCAAAAGAGCGTCCCACGGTTGACAAACTCTAAGGGAAAATAATTCCGGCAGCATTTCAGCCGAGTATATTGGGTGGCAAGTTTCAACTTATGAATCCTCAATTCCGTGTTACGGTTAAACTTCAGGTAGCGGCAGGCGTGACCGGGATTTACAAGCTCTTGAACGTCAGGATGAGGTCACCCAGTAGACGGCGGTCTCTGCCGCTGTACACTCACAAGGCTTTCAGTCGTCTATGGTATTGCATGAGGGACAAACACTTCACATTTTCCGTTGCCCTTCGCTGGGCGGTCTCCAGCGCAGCCAGACTGCGTGCTAACCAGATTTGCCACAATTGGATCACGTACTCTACATGGGGCCTCACAAATGCATTGAGCATTTGGGGGAAGATGAAGGGGTCGATCCATCCGAACGCCCTCCGTAACAGACCAACATGTTCGTTCGCGGTTTTGGACGTCCTCATGGCCTGCACTGAACAGCCGAGATGGTCTTGCATCACCCCCTTCAAGGGCTCACTCATATGAGGTGGGTTTCAGCATGTCGTCTCCAAGCTTATATGCATTTGTGGACTTGTGGCGGACCTGCATGGCTTTGCACTTGTTTGTGTTAAACGGAATTAGGTTTGCCTCTGACCATTCAAAGGAATGGTCTAAGTCACGCTGCAACATATCTTGATCTTCCTGACAGTCGCTTGCCCGCCATATCTTGATGTCATCGGCAAAAAGCAGGAAATTTGACTTGATGACACGCAAAGTCGTTAATAAAGAACAATAACAACCGCGGCCCCAACACTGACCTTTGCTGAACACCGCAGTCCACATTACTTGGGTCAGAAAATGAGCCCCGAACTCGAACCTGAAGGCGCCGCTGAGGGAGGAAGTTTCCGATCCAGCCAAGGACCGGGTTGCCAACTCCGTACGCCTGCAGCTTTAGGTGAAGGATCAGGTGACCTATGCGATCGAAGGCTTTAGGAAAGTCGTGGTAGATGACATCAATGCTGATCCCACTGTCGGCTATCTTGGTCCAGCTGCCACGGGGAATAAGTACATTGGCAGTACATGACTGATGCTGACGGAATCCGTTTTGCTCCGGTGCTATGATGTTAGACCTTTCGAAGTAGCCTATTACAACAGCCTCAACTGTGATCGATTACATCACCTTTGAAAGGCCCGTGAGGAGAAGCACCGGGCGACAATTGGCGGGCTCTGAACGGCTACCACTCTTGCAACTCGGAGTAATGATGCCTTGCTTCCACGTACTAGAGACCTGCTATTCGTCCAGGCATCTTTGGAGAAATCTCGTTAGTGGTTCAGCTATCCTCCTAACTGCCACCTGCAGTGCTTTCGGGGGAACGTTGTCAACTCCGGGGGAACTATGGGTTCGCAACGAGATCAGCTTATTTAAAATGCTCGCCGAACTAAAGATCGGTTTAAATACTGGCGTCTGTGAGATTGGGACAGGTATGTTACACATGCTGGTAGCACGTTGGAAAATTGGAGCATATTAAAGCCGTAGAACGTTAGCTGCATCCACGGCGGTTTGCGCACATCCATCTGCTGATATTAGTGGAGCAAAACCATGTTTCACATTCCGGAGGCTGTTCACATGTCTGCACAGAAACATTTGATAGCACAAAACTTCTACGCTAGACTCTACTGTTGTACTAAGTTATCCTCACGCACAAGTGTGATACAGTGATTACGATGCACCACATAGTTACTCCAGTTGTCAAGGCTAGGGTTCACTCTATACACATGCCACGCTGCGTCTCTTTCAGTCACGTGTTTTCGGATCCTGCTCCGAATGAATGGTTGTGATCTTGCGGAAATAAAGGGCTTGTTGACCGATGCAGATTTAATCAGATCACTGAACTTGTCAGTAAACTCCATCCAAGCGCTGTCAATGGTACAGTCGTCCGGAAACTCCCAGATGACATCTACAAGTTCTACCAAGATGTCGTAGTGGGTGGTTGTTCGAAATAAGTTAGCATGTTCTTGTGGATACTCCGCATAACATACGAAGTTGTAAATTATGGTTAAGGGGTCGATGTGCCCCAGAGGAGTCCCCATCCTTGGATTATCAATCATGAGCTCTTCCTTCATGAGCACCAAATCAAGCAGATGATTTATTTCCGGCTCTGAGTCAGGTGGACGAACTGACTTGACTGAAGAGCGTAAGGCTTGTAATAACAGCTTGCAGGTCAGCCTTGAATTGCCGGTTGGAGGATGCCGGAACTTCCAAATCGTACATACTGAATTCACTGGAGATGAGAACATGACTGTATAGTCCTCGTAGGAGCATTCCCAAAGATAATGTCAGGCAGGAGTCTGTCCTTGTGGTGGACATTGGGGGACGACAAATAACGGCCGAAAGGCAAGTTTCGTTGCGTCTCAGTCGCAAACGACACCAGAGTGAGTCAATGATCAACATTTCCCGATCGAACACCGGTTCGCACTGCAGGTCGTTACGGTAGTATAACAGTACCCCTCCTCCCTTGCTAAGACGATCGTTTCGGCGAAGGGACATAACATGTATCGAGACCTCGGCGTCGGTCACTTCTGAGTAAGACCAAGTTTCCCTGACGAAGATGAGGTCCCAGATATGTGACGCTCGACGCAGCCGCAGTTCAACAAGCTTGTTCTGGAGACCATATGCGTTGCTGTACATGCAGCAAAGTTTCTCTGTTCTTAGCACTGAAACATGGGATGCGTGTTTTTTTGGTACAATGTTGTGCCGACCGGTGAAAGGTCGACCACTAAACCTTTTCGGTTGGAGCGATGACGAACTCATCTGTGGCAGCTCCGTGGATCCCCCCATTACCTCTGCTTCTCTTTTTGCAGGTAATATATGGGGTGTGTTTGCCAGTTTCGCTGGCTAGTTGACTGAGTTATCCGAACTCTTGTCGGGAAGTGGTGCGACTAAGTAGTTGCTCACGTGTGTTTGCATAGCAGATGCTGCTTTGATTCGGAGCTATGAAGGAAGACTGCTGCGACCCCCATACCAGCAATCCAGCACGATTGCTGACATTCACTTAGATTGAAAGACCACTTTCACAATCCTCGAGCCACATCATTTGTAGTTTGGCGATCAGCGCAGCCCGGAGATAGATTGCACTATGAGGTGGGTTTTCGCC